CAGTTAAGAAGTATCTGAGAACAGATTTGAATTCAGGTCTTCTTGACTCCAGGCTGAGTTCTCTATCCACTGAGTCATCTAGCTGAAGTGGGACTTGAGGCAGGGCTCTCTGTCTCCTAGACCCAGCGGCCTCTTATTGGGGACATAGAGGCCAAGTTGCAATAGTCCTTGGCCTTGAAGAGCTTACATTCTGTGGAGGGAAGAGGAACAAGGTATACACATAGGAACAAATGCAAAAATAATCTTTCAGAGAGTGTCGGGTACTAACAGCTCTGAGCATGTGGAAAGGTCTCTAGGTGGGCACCTAAGCTGAGCTTTGAAGGAAGCTAGAGGAGGCAGATGAAAGGGGTGTGTGTGTGTGTGTGTGTGTGTGTGTGTGTGTGTGTGTGTGTCCTGACCAGGGCAGAACTCAGCATCTGAGACCCAAGAAGGATTGAGACTGTGGGGAATCTAATTCAGCACTCCATGGGTCGCGAAGGTGGATGAATACATTGGTCCTTTGGGATCTTCAGAGGGCTTTTCATCGAAGCAGCTCTGTGACAGTTGGCAAGGAGAGTATGAGAATCGGTGAACTGGAGCATCCCAAAGCCCTGTGAGAAATCAGTTGGACACTGAGGTGCCTGCTGTAAGGGCCGCATAGTGGCTCTGGCAATGGTTGGAGGCTGCGGGCAGTTTGGGGCTGCCAAATTAGCCAAACTCTTCAGCTGTTTCTTTGTTTAGGTAAGCCTGCAGGCCACTTGCTAGGATGCTTCTGAAGGCTCATCTTGCATTTTAAAATCCAACCTTTTCCCCCACAAAAGCCCCCAAAACATTTCACTATTTTGCAGTACCCTACCTAACCCTTTTAAATTATAGAATTATTTTTATCTGCACCTATAATCTTATCTTTGAACTCTGGAAACTCTTTCCACCAATGCTAGAGGCAGCTAGATAGCTCATTGGAAAGAGCACTAGGCCTGCAGTCAGGAAGACCTGAATTCAAATTGCCCTTCAACACTTGCTAGCTGTGTGACCCTGGGCAAGCCACTTATGCTCAGTTTCCCCAATCATAAAATGGGGATAATAATAGTACCTACCTCCCAGGATTGTTGTGAGGATCAAATGAAGTAGAATGAGTAAAAGTGCTTAGCAATTTATTATTATTATTACTATTATTTATATAGCCCCCTTCATCAGCAACTCATCTGAAACTTAATTTTAGAGGGTTACCTGCTATACAGCTGTCACAAAGCCGGTCAGAGGGACAAAGTCAGAGGCATGACTGGAGCGTAGGTCTTTCTGGCGCTAAGGCCAGTTATCTATGGCTGCCTGTTGAATTATGAGATGTTTTCAAAGAAATGTGTTTGAATGAATTATCTGCTGATGATGCCATCACTCTCTCCTCCTTAAAAGCTAGTTATGCACTGGCTCTGTTCATTATTTCTCATTGCTTCCTCTACTACCACCCTTGTTCAGGTCTGTATTGCTACGTCGTAAGGGGATGCTTTTTTTTTCTAATTGTCCAACTATGCCTTGTAAATTGATAATATAGAACAATTTCCTAGGGTCCTGATAGATTTGAACTAGAAGGGACCTTACAGATCATCTAGCCCAACTCCTTCATTTTACAGATGGGGAAACTGAGGCCCAAGGAGGTTGTCTGTTGCTCAAGGTCACACAGGTGATAACTATTGCTTGAGATTTACTTTTGAATGCAAATGGTAACAGTTTTCTTACAGGACTCCCCATCTCCAGCTTCCTCAGGCCCTCCTGTGTGCCCCCTCTAGAGCCTTCTTCCTAAGACCCCCTTGTGCCTACTGCCCTCATGTTCAGAACCACTCAACAATAACTCACACTTACAGTGTTTGAAGGTTTTAAGACACTTCTATCACAACAACCCTTAATAAAAGGATTTGTTCTGTAAAACTTGGACTTAGTCAAAAGGTCGAACCCAAGGACCTAGAAGACCTCATGTGGCCTCAGGTTCCCCACCCCTGTTCTATTCTAACCTGATAAGTTTAAACGATGTCCCAGAGAGGTTGAGCTACTGTAGATAGTATATGAACCCAAGACCTTTGGCCCCAAATCTCGTACTGTGTTGCTTCCTCACAAATGCTAATTATTATTATTATTTGTCTTCATTGTATTCTCCTTTTTCTAGTCTCGGACTCAGAGTCTAAAATCCTACTTCAGACACTCGCTAGCCATGTGACCCTGGTCAAGTCATTTTACCTATGCCTGAGTTTTCTCATTTATAAAATGGGGATGATAATAGCACCTATTCCCCCACCCCCAGGTTGTTGTGAGGATCCAATAAAATTATAATTGTAAAGTGCTTAACACAGTCCTGGAACATAGTAGGTGCTTAATAAATGTTATTATTATTATTATTATTATTATTACTATCTGTAAACTTGGGACAATGATAGCATCTACCTCCCAGCGTTGTTGTGAGGATCTAGTGAGTTAATAATTATAAAGCACTTAGCACAATCCTGGCACATAGTAGGTGCTATATAAATGTTAGCTATTATTATTATTATGGGGACAACAATAGCATCTTCCTCCCAGGGTTGTTCAAAAGAAGTTCAAATGAGAGGGACAGCTAGATGGCGCAGTGGATAGAGCTCCAGCCTTGGAGTCAGAAAAATCCAAGTTCAAATCTGGCCTCAGACATTTGAGACTTACTAGCTGTGTGACCCTGGGCAAGTCACTTAACCACAATTACCTCACTAAAAAAAGGCGAGACAAAAAAAGTTCAAGTGAGATAATATATGCTTTGCAAATCTTAAAATGCACTATGAATATTATGAATATTTTTATGATTTTATTCACTTTCTTTGCTTCCTTTTATTTTTCCTTAATTATTTCCTCCATTGTCTCCTTTCTCTATGCTTACTTTCCCCTCCTAATTTTCTTCATTCTCTTTCTCATCTTCTTCCTTTCTTTTGTTTTTTCCTTCTCTTTCCCCTAAAATGTAAAAGCATTTTTTTTCTCTCATCAGATTGTCATCCTGGATGCAAAAACCCAACTCCCTTCGGAGGAGACTGGCTGACCTGTGTGTCAAAAATCCTTTGTTTTTGTTTTTTTTCCTTTTTCCTCTTTTAAGGGACAAACACACAGTTGCACAACAATTTGGACCTGGCCTTCAGCCTCACTCTCTTGGGTAAACAAAACAATACCTGGACCTCAGAGAAACTTTATTGGAAATTGAAATAAGAACCAGCTATGGATGGAAGGGAAGTTTAAATGAAACACGCACAGGTCAAGATAGCACCTTCAAAACACATGCCAGTGAGGGAGCCTTGAGAACCAAGTTGTCACGAGTTCTATCTTCTAAAAGTGTAAAATCACCATTCCAAGGAGCCAGCCTCTTAAAAACCCAATCCCCTTTGGGGCTTTCAGTCGGCCTCCTTTTGGAGTGATTGAAATCCTTTCCGAAGCCAGGCCACAGTGTTGAGGCTAAAGCTGAAGGAATGGGTTGGACAGATGAAGGTTAGGACAGGGGGGTTCAGAGCGGGCGAGGTGGCTGTCCCTTAGCCCAGCTGGCAGGGCCAAACCTGGACCTCCTTCCCCACCTCAGTTTACACCACTAGGGGGCCACCTCATTTGCATTTGCCCAAAACCAGCCCAGGCAGTCCCCTTCCTTTAGTAGTCTCAATCCCAAAGTCTGTTACCTCTTCCCCCAGGGCAGGAAATCAGCATGTACTTCCTCAGATTATGGATGGGGGTGGCAGTAACCTGCCTAGTTTCTAGTTTTTGGCCTCTTTCCCTATTGGAATTAAAACAAAACAAAGCGAAACACCCACACGCACCCCCCGCCCCCACTCATTAACCCTGGGTCAGTCTGAATAAACCAGAGTGGACTTAGAGAGGGGGGAAAGACCTGGTCATTGGCCTTAGCTTCCCCCTCACCTTGTGACCTTGGGCAAATAATTTTCCTTTGTGTGCCTCAAATTTCTCTCTTGCAGATATGGGGAATAATCTGACCCCTGCCTCCTTCTCAGAGCTTTTGGGAGATGACCAGAGGAGACGGTCATTGCCGGCATTTCTATATCGTTTTACATATTCTCATTTGGACCTTAGAACTAGCACTGATGTCCAAAGTTACCTAACTGGTCTCTGGAGCCCTCAAGTGTAAAATGAGGCAGTTGGAGTCATAGATATAGACCTGGACAGGGGCCTTAGAGGTCATGGGGTCCAACCCCTTCCTTTTACAAATGAGGAAACTGAGGCAGACAAAGGTTAAGTGATTTGGACAAGGCTATACAGCCTCTCTAGGAAATCCTCAAGTGCAGCTAGCTTAAAGAGATAGCTAATTGAATTAATAGGATCGTGAATTTAGACGGGGGCGGCTAGGTGACACAGTCTGGGGCCCTGAAGTGAGACCCGAGTTCAAATTCAGCCCCAGACACCGATTATTTGTGTGACCCTGGCTAAGTCCCTTCACCCTGTTTGCATCAGTTTCCTCATCTGTAAAATGAGTTAGAGAAGGAAATGGCAAACCTCTCCAGTACCCTGCCAAGAAAACCCCAAATGGGATCATGGAGAGTCGGACACGACTGAACAAGAAGATGGAGAGGTGGGGAGAATCTTAATGGTCATGAGGGCCAACCCCCTGACTTCACAGGCCCCCTAGGGCCCTTATCTCGGTCACGGTTATAGGGCTAGTCTTGAAAGCCCTCATCCATAAAATGAGGAAAATTTAGGGTCATACATTTATTAGAGTTGGAAAGATCTTGGCGGACAGAAGAGAAAAGGAGGCCAGACAGAAGTGTTTCGTTCAAAGCCTGTTAGTTATTAAGTATCTGATCTAGGATTTGAACCCCGGTTTTCTTGATTTCCAGACTGACACTGTGTGCGCTGAAACTCCGTCAACAGACATTTATTCGGCCCCAGATGGCCTCAGGGTACCTGCTAGCTCGAAATCAATGGTCCTACGATCCTTTTGGCCAACTGTGAAGGGCAAAGGGCCACGTGGGAGATAATTCCTCCTCCCTCCTCCCCCTCCCCCCGCCCACATGGAGGAGTGCCGGACTTCCAGGAGGCCTGGTGGCAGGCGTCCCCAACCTCTCCAGCTCCCGGGGGCCCGAGCCGTTCGCTAGCTTTGGCGAATCTCCCCCCTTCGCAGCCAACTGCGGAGGAGAGCAGAGGCCGGGGAAGCGCTCTGAGGCTCGCGGAGGTACCCTGGCGCCCGCAGAGATACCCTGGCGCCCGCAGAGAGCGTGGGGGCGGGCTGGGTCGTCGGGAGGCCCGCCCCCCAGCCCGGCTCCGCCCCACTTGGCCCATTCTGGGAATCCAGAGCCGTCAGAGTTGCGAAGTAAAAGCAGGCGAGGGGGCGGTCCCTCGGGGCAGGCTATGGCACATAAAACGGCCGGGGCCCTGTGCCGCTTCTCCTCGCCCCGCGCTGTGGGGTCCGTGTCCCGTTTCCCGCTCCCACCTTTCCTCGCCAAGCTCCCCGTTGCGCGCTGCTCCCTGCGCGAGCCCGGGGGCCCCCAGTGCCATGGCCCGTAAGCTCGGAGGGCGCAAGACCATCGTGATCTTGGGGCTGGTGGGACTGCTCTGCACGGTCCTGGGCGGCGTCATGATCTTCGTGATGCCCCAGCTGATTAGAGATCAGATCCTCCAGGTGGGTAGATGGGCCGGGCTCCCCTTTCTTCTCTTCTCCCGGGGCGCGGGGCACCGGGGTGCGGGCAGACCGACCCATAGACAGACAGGCGCAGGCTTGGGAGCCCGCCCTGGCGCCGACTGAGCTGGGCAGGTGTGAGCCGCCTTTTGCCTACGCGCTCTGGAGCCCTGGCACCCCGGCGCGCCAGAGAGGCGCAGTGGACGGACCGGACAGACCGGGGCCGGGAGAGCTCCGACTGCTTTGGAGTTGGAGCGAAGAGAGACGTGATCTCTCGGACGCCTTCGTACCCCGGGACCCGGGTGCCTGGCCTAGGAACCCCGAACTCTGGTCTCTAGGAGCCAGGGAAAGCGAAAACCCGAGACCCGGCTTCCTGAATTCGCTGGTCGCCCTTACCCCACCCCACCTTTCCTTTAACCCTCTGCGCTGGGGCCCCATTCATTGTGTGTGATTAAGAAAACGCTTGCACCGTTGCATCATCAGGGTCATCGTAGATTTACGGCTGGAAGGAGACCTTAGTGGTCATCCTCGTCTCCCCCATTCTTCAGATGAGGAAATCGAGGCCCAGACAGGCGAAGGGACTGTGTATAGGACACACAGCTGAACCCGAGTCCTCCGACAATTTTCCTGGCTCAGCTGTGAGGACCTGGGGGCGTCTGAACGAGGGGCTGCTTCAGATAAAAAGAAAAAGAGAGAGACGGAAGGAAGAAGTTATGAGATTGTGTAAGGCTGAGGCATCCCCTAGGGAAGGGGCTTTGGAACCAGCCGGGTGGGTCTTTGCTCTGTTTGGGGAAGTGAAATAAGCAGAGACTACAGGTGATATTGGCATAGTCCGGCTGATTCTAGGATGCTTGTAGCCGACTTTTTCAGGCTCCTGGGGCAGTTGCACCCCAAGGCTGGGGCCAAAGTTTTCCAGCAAGCCTTTCTTGCACGTCGGCCTCAGAACCTGTTGCTTTTGTTTGCCTAGATATTGAGTAGTTGGCATCTAATTAATTAGCGTCAGCGTTGGTGTGTTGGCTGGTGTTTTTTCTTCCCCCCTTTCCTTTATATATCATGCTTCCACCAGCCCAATTGGGACCCAGAAGAGTCCTTTACACTCCTGGGTCCCCAACACAGGGCCTGAGCACATAGCAAGTGCGGAGTAAATGCTACTTGGATTGTGTAAGCTAACCATCCCTTTGTAAGAAGTTCCTTGTTCAGTCCCCGAACCTTTCCACAGTTGAATCCAAACTTTTTTTTAAGTCGCTATCCTGACGCTAGAAAGACCAAAGCAAACAGGCAGATGAGTAAAGAATGTAATTTTAGGGAGGGAGAACTTTAATACCTGAGAGGTTGATAGGGGGCCTCGTAGTGGCCCCTGAGCTGGGCTTTGAGGGAAAATCGAAATTCTAAGGGGCAAAGGTGAGGGGAGGGGGCCCCTATTCCACACCTGTGAAATGACTTGTTCAAACTGGATAGAAAGCAAAGAAAGGGAAGGACAGGTAGGCTGCTGTTAAGATTTCAAGCTAAGCCTCCTTCCTCTCCATGGTTGTGGAGTCCAGGAAACCCTGTATCCCCAATGAGATGCCCTTATCACTCCACTGATGTCAACATTTTGTGCCTGCCCTCCAAATCGAGCTCTTTGAAATGCAGAGGTGAAAATCACCTTGGGGAGATAATCGGCGAGTGGATCTCCCTTTCTATGTGGACTAAGGAGTTTGATAGTCTGGGTGCATAGGTAGGTGGGACCTGTCAGCATGCCGCAGCATTCCCGTAGGCGACCATAGAATGTCAAATAGTGACATGGTGGCTGAATTGTGCAGATGAGGAATCCCCAGTGCAGAGATGTGACGCTGTCCAGGGTCAGGCAGCCCCATGGTAGCAAGAGCCAGGATCAGAACCCAGTTCTCTTGATGGCTAGTCCAGAGCATACTGGTGTAGGATTGGTTCCGCTGCCGTTTGGAGAAACTCAGAGGAGAGAGTTTCGGAGACCAAGAATTAAACATTGGCCAGTACACACTAGAAGGGAGTGTGGCCCAGTAGATCTCCCGTCTCTTACCTCCCCAGTGCTCCAGGCAATTCTAAGATTTTGAATTGTAGAAGTTGAAGTCACAGGTTGGGTCACTAAGTATAAAGTTTTAAAAACAAAACAAAACAAAACATAATAAACTTCCCAGACTGCAAAGATTCTGCCCCATGCTTTGTAACTGGACAATGACAATAATAATTTCTTACAATGGTTTGCAGAATATCTTAATTACGAAACCCAGGCATAGGGGATGATTTTGTCCAGGGTCAAACAGAGGCAAGATTTGAATCCAAGTCTTCTGTTATCCATAATACCAAATAAGTTGCTTTACCTCATCTTTGTCTTCTGTAAAACGAGGGGGAATTGGAGTTAGATGATTGGTTCCTTTCAACTTTAAATGTTGTTGTTCACTTGTTTCAGTAGTTTTATCTGATTCTTTGTGACCCCATATGGGGTTTTCTTGGCAAAGGTACCACAGTGGTTTTGTCATTTCCTTCTCTAGCTCATTTTACAGATGAGGACACTGAGGCAAACAAGGTGAAGTGACTGGCCCAGGGTGACGCAGCTAGGAAGTGTCTGAGGTCAGATTTAAATTTAGGTAGATGAGTCTTCTTGACTCCAGGCCTGGCCCTCTACTGTACCGTCCAGCAGCCCTTCGACTTTAAATAGATGATTTTATACCCATAAGACTCCACCCCCTTCCTTCTCTTTGCCCTTAATCGCACTACAAATATAAACCCGATCAACCATTCGGCAATTACCACAGATGTGATAGCAGAGAGAAAACATCTTTGTATACCTGTGTCCAACAGGCATTTATTAAATGTAACTGAGCCTGGACTCTTTCCCCTCTGGCTGACTCAATTCAGTGGTATAGCGGGCATCTTAGTTATGACTTAATAAAGAAATATGTTTTATTAATACCTTTAAAAAGCATATGCAATATATATCCCTTTCCTGAAGGGACTCTCTTATAGAAAAACGAATAAGCAAAAAATGCCCGAGAAAGTGGCCCCATCTAAACCTGTATGTGGTATTTTGTCCCAGTAGTCCCCTCCCCCCTTTCTGCTTTGAGGAGGGAAGGATGTTTGTTGTCTTTGGGTCCATTGTTAGTTTTTCAGTTAGTCAGAGTTCAGTTCATTTTTAGTGACTTTATTTACATGGTTGCAGTCATTGTATATATTGCTTTTTTTAGTTTCAATTAATCACAATAATTTATTGAATCAAAATTTATTAAATATTATTATATAAACTCAATACTTTATTAAGCATCTCCCATGTGCCAGGTGGGGCAGCTAGGTGATTCATTGAATAGAGGGCCAGACCTGGAGTCAGGAAGATTCACCCCAAATGAGGTCCTGAGGAGTCCAATAGACTGAAAAATGGCTAAACACAGGTGCCAGGCCCTGTGCTAAGCCCTGGGGATACAAAAAGAGGCAAAAGAGTTCCTTAAGGAACTTACAGTCTAATGGAGAATACAATATTTAGACAAATAGGTAGACTGCATTAGTTTATGCAAGTCTTTAACTTCCTTTTCTTTGCTTTCTATTCTATTCATATTCTGTAGTTTTTGTGTGTGTGTTTTTTTTTTTTTTTTAATGTGAGACAATTGAGGTTAAGTAACTTAGCCAGAGTCACACAGCTAGTGAGAGGCCAGATTTGTGTCTGAGGCCAGATTTGAACTCAGGTCCTACCTGACTCCAGGGCAGGTACTCTATCTACTGTGCCACCTAACTGCCCCAATATTCTGTGGTTTTTAAAGTCATTTCCCAGTCAGTGGTCACCAACTTTATTTCCATTTATTTCCTACCACAGAGTATTGCTATGAATATTTTTACCTTTCTCTCCTTGACTTCTTTGAAGTGTGTGTGTCTGATTTTTATTTTTATTTTTGTTTTTTTTTAATTTTTGTTTTATTTTATTTTCTTTCTTTTTTAAAAAATATTTTATTTTTAATTTATGGAATAAAACAAACATTGCATGTGAAACTGCTAATCTACTATGTACAACTTGGCGTGTGATTTTTATGAAGCCCTCTGAAAGAGCCCACTGAGTGGTGTTCAGCTTGTATTCTGAGGGTCTGGATTCCAGTTCTGTGACCTTGGGTCAATCCCATAACTTTTTTAGGACTCTGTTTCCTCAACTGCAAAATGAAGGTTTTGCCTTGTTTAGACCTTGATATTTCTTTCCATTGCTGTGTGCGTGATTTGACCATTTTCCCTCCCCCATCGTGATGGGGTACCCTTGGAAACTGACGAGACTTTGATGATGGGGAAAGAGTGCAGCCAAGGCCTTTGGATTAGGAAGCTGCCGGTGCGTCAGTCAGCCACAGAATATCTCCTTGACTTTTTTTTTTTTTTTTCAGATTTCTCCTGTTAAGTTTTGTAACCTAAATGATTGAGAGTACTAATGAGTGATAACACTGTGTTCCTGGTTTTTTATTTTTGTGGTTGCTTCATGTTTTCTTCGAAAATCCAAGGCAGGGTAGTGGTGGTGGAGTGGGGAGGGTGGGGGGAAGGTTAACAAAATCCTTGTGGCAAAGATTTTTTTCCCCCTCCTCTCCAAGTGGACCAGTAGTGATACCAGGCTGGGGCTTCACAAGAAACTGTATTTCTGCAGAAGTTCCTGCATCTTCTTGTTAGCCTCGTCTAGGCTCTCTTGTCAATGATGCAGGCCTTATTGTTGCCAGGTTGTGATGTCTCAGCCTAACCAAATCAGAATCACAGAACTCCTTTTTGGGGTGTGAGATTGGGGAGGACATTCAGTGAGAGAATAGATTTTGACTGTTAGATGAGATGGCAGTTGGGTTTCATTTTTGGTCATTGGACAAGGATTTCCTTTTTAGAGTGTCAAAGTTTATAGATAGACTAAAAACTGCTCTGTGCTCTGCTACTGTCGAAATAGAAGGGAGGTGAAGGAAGGAAGGAAACATACATTTATTAAGTGCTTACTGTGTTCCAGGCTCAGACCTTATTTGCTACGTGACCCTGGGCAAGTCATTCAACCCCGTTTGCCTCAGTTTTCTTCATCTATAAGATGAGCTGGAGAAGGAAATGGCAAACGACTCCAATATCTTTGCCAAGAAAACCCCCCAAAAGGGATCCCAAGGAATCAGACATCACTGAACAACAAGTTGTGTTAAGTGCTTTATAATATTATCTCATTTGGTCCTCACGACAACCTCCTGATGTGGGTGCTGTTATTATCTCCATTTTACAGTTGAGGAAACTGAGGCAGATAGCAGTTCAGTGACTTGCCCAGGGTCATACAATTAGTTAGCATCTGAGACGGTATTTGAACCGAGGTCTTCTGACTTCAGGCCCTGTACTCTATCCAGCTGTTGAGGGGACCACACAGGACTGAGGGTCATTTTTATATTTTTCTTTTGTGGCTTGCTATGAGTAAAGACTTCATTGCCAGCTGACCAGCCTACTGGTGGTCTCCATTGGGTGGGGACTTGGAAAAGTCTCACAGGATGGGCAGATGTGGAAGGGTCTGTACTATATCATTGCATTCAGCTTCCAAGTTGATTCTACCATAGGTAGAATCATAGGTCTATTTAAATACTTTTTAATGGGTGAAAGTACCCCCATTGGCAATCTTAATTCAAGATGGTAATGAACGCCAGCTTTGTTCAAGTCCCTTGGCCAGGGAGTGTGGCATACAAAGATGAAGAAGGAAACACTGCCTAGCTCCCCAAAAGTCTTGCGTTC